TTCGTAGACAAGATGGCAGCTGCCTGTAGTGGTGACCCGCGACCATGGAGATATAAACAGCTTTTTATAAGGTAAAAATAACAAACAGTAATGTATTATCATAACCAACAAGACAAATTAGGTCATATCTCTGGATCTGCTTATATCAGAATGATCCAAGTATCAAAATGTAGCTTTTAATAAAATTAGACTATATAATGAGTCATATATACTAAATAAGTTTATAATATTTATTTAATTTAATGAAGTCTATAGTAAAACAAAAATATCAAACAATATGTCATAAATGAAAGAAAAAGAGTTCCTGAAACAAAAGAAGTTGTAAATCTGTCTTTGTCTGGGGAAATGTGATTTATTATTGTAAGAGTCACATCTTTGTTTCCATTGAAGTCATGTTTGGACAGCACACACACAGACACACACAGAGCAGAAAGAAGGTTGCACAACACACTCAGGAAAATATACCAACACCATGTCGCCATTTTCCCCAACTACATCTGTGCACGAGCAGCCACAGCACCCTCGTGTCTTCCTGACACGCAGGAGCTGAGCAGGCTGCAGTGTAACACAGGAACCTGTGGTGTCGCCGACATTATCAGAGAACATCACAGGATGAAGTCTGAGCRTCAGAACAAACCCTGCGTCCACGGAGCCACATGAAGCTTTAATCACGTCGCCCTGATGTCGCAGACGGCTTCACAGGAAACAAACAGCTCGCTGATTGACGTGTGACGTGGCCACACGGAGCAGAGCAGGGATTGGAAGAGGCGTCGCTCTGCGCCTCGCTGTCCAATCAGCGCGCGGGGTGGGCGGGGCGCGTCGCCGTCAATCACGCAGGAAGTATAAGGGTTTGAGGAGGGAGGGAGGGGGAGAATCCAATCCGGTTCCAGCTAGTTTTTCTTCCAATGGAACATTAACGTGTCGCTGCAGCGTGTGTGTGTCCGGACACGGCTTTATCCTGAATTCACCGCTTTATTTCTGCRGTCTTCACCTTCAGCGCGTTCTTTTCATCCAAACATCTCAACACAAAGCAACATGCCGAAGAGGAGCAAAGTGAGTACACAACACGGTTAATCCGGTGTGTGAACACGTTCCTGAGTGAAGCTGGTGCAGGTGAAGAGGAAGATGATGTGTTGTGGTGCAGCTCTGCAGCCTGTAGTTGTGTTGTGATTGTGTGTGGTTTTCCGTGGAGAAAGTTGGCGGGATATTGATCGTTTCCTCTCGGGCTCGTCCTCCTGGTGGAGAAGTTTMTGTTGAACCGTAAAGCTCGTGTGTTTGGGCGTTCACTCGGTTTGTGTTACTGTGAATGCAAAGCCTTTAATAAAGATGGGYTCGCGTTGCATGTTTGGTGTAATTGTCGTGTTTTAAAGGTGTAATAGTCGCGTGTCGGTCGTCGTGTCGCCCGTGGACAGTGGGCTCAGGCCGTGCAGTGACGAGGCTCCGTCAGCAGAGCGCAGCTCGTGTTGCTGGGCTTCAGGCTTTTCTTCTTTCAGCTTCTCTGACTCTTTAAATTTGTGGCGGGAACCGCACCGACACTGGCCGTGTGTTTATTACCAGTGAAGGGCTGGGGGCGGGGCTTGCGACTTCCCTCCCAGAATTGGATTGTGGGCGTGTCCAAAGCGGAGGAGCGTCGGTTTAAACTGCTCAGAGGAGCGTTATGGCTGTTTCAGGTCATTACATAGACTTAAATATAAATCACTAGACTGAGCCCCGCCCATCCCGTCCACTGGTAGTGTCTGTGACAACATGGAGGAGCAAAAATGGCGTCCAAACAGGACAAAAGCTCACAGCAAACATAGAAACTAATAAACAGCAGCTAAACTGGATCTGTTTCACACATTGTCTGTCATGTTTTTACAATAAATTAATAATTATSTTAATTTCATTCAACAATCATGTAAAACAGCAGATTTATACCAGAAAAATATAATTTATTGAGCTATTCAGCCTGTAACTTAGACTTTAGCTAGTTGAAAAATGATGACTTTAGCTGTAATAAAGTATATTTATTATTTCTTCTTACTGTCATAAAAAATAATAATATTTATATTTACCAGTCAACAGTTAGAAAATGTT